AACAGGGAAGTTTTGAAATACAGTGGGACAACAGAACCGGAACACACCGGAACGAGTGGGAGGGGCATTGCATAAGTGCAACAGTGTTATCCCCTGAAGACAGTACTCATCACCAGGGCTGTCTTTAGCCCCCCCAAGTCTCACATAAGCAGAATTCTAGCACAGCTTCACACCTAGCGCCACGTAACAACAGAGGCTATAAAAATTAGAATATTTTACTCTGGTGATACTGCATTTTAGGCTTTTAGATTTATTGGCTTAAGTAATGAATAGTTTGCCATCAGCCCCCCGTAGTAAAGACTCAACCCCCCTATCCATTCATCTCTAACTATGCCCCTGTTCACCCCCCCAATGACGAGGGATGGATGTAAGAAAGGGGTGTGGATGAAGGGGCCTCTGACTGTCCAAAGCCTGCATTGTCATCCGATGGAGCAACGGGAAATCTTTTGTAGCCTGTTACTTTTCAGTGTGTTCCTCCAGGAGTCTGATTTAAATCACTGGTCCATTCTTCTTGCATAGTTCAATTTTGCAGGCCTTAAGGCAGTAGCAGGTCATTTTTGGATCGTTTGTTCTAGTGACTGTCACCATTGGTCTAGGGTGTATTTGTCCGAGTCCATACTATCTGCACTGTTTTTGGAGGACCTCAGTTTGTTGTTATAAAATGTCAGACTTGCATATTTCTTTGACAAAATGTATGTAAGGTGACGCAGTGTTTTCACGCCATTTGAAATGTTCTTTTAGAGATTGAAAAGCAAGACTTTACAGTGATCGTGTCACAGGCTCGGGAGGTTCTGGCACAGGAGTGAGGCATTGTGCAGGCGGGGACTGAAAGTGAGGAACACCATGCTGAGTTATTGCAGGAGTCACAGTGTTAGCCTTTGCTAGAAAACGCTCCATGGGAACCACACCTGTTAGCTTAATGTTAGGTGTGGAGCTGTTGACTGCCGTCATGCTTTCAGAGCTCGGTAGAGATAGAAATTGCCCTATTCCTTGTGGGACAATGGCACAAGCATCATGAATGCACACTATCTGAGAAACATGTTCGCAGTTTAGTAGGTTAACAGCCTTTTCCCACTGAAGAAATTCCTCAGAGACTTCAGCTCTCTTATATCTCAGAAATCTCAGCTCTCCTACCTCAGAGATCTCAGCTTTCCTACCTCAGAGATCTCAGCTCTCCTACCTCAGAGATCTCAGCCCTCTTACCTCAGAGATCTCAGCTCTCTCCCCTTGCTACTTTGTCTAGTATTACTTGTGACATCAATATGTCATGTGTTGTGTCACAGGATTCTTTTTTTTTTTTTTTGCTTTAGAATCAAAACATGCAGCAAAGTGAAACTGGCCACGTGTTGCAGAGCATCTGTGCAACACTGGCCTTGATTATCAGGCATATAACAATAGAGGCCATGGAAAATCGAGTAATTTACCCTGATGATACTGCAGCTTTGCTCCGCTTGAATGTGTAGCATGTGAATCATTTGATTCTGGGTGATTCTTTCATTTTAAACCAAAGCTATCGCAGGCAGGTAGTCATCACATATGATTTGTAGATCAAAGGACTCAAATTTCAAGGGTAGGGAGGTAGGTAGATCATTAGTCAGGTAGGTAGATAAGTTTAAAAAGGCAATCATTTGGGGGTCTGGAATGGAATAAATTAATTTACGTTATTTCTTATGAGAAAATTGACTTGGACCTTGAGCAAATAACAACTAGATCAGCCTTCTGGAAGAAATTAAGTTTGTATTCCATGGTACCACTGTATATATAATTTTAACATTGGCTGTGGTTGTTTTGTTTGAGGTATCAGTGCTCTCTTTTCAATGTGGCTTTTCTATACAGTAAGCACCAGAATCTAAATATTTTAATGTTCTTTGAAACTGGAATAAGAGGTGGGTTAAGCCTGTTAGTTATTGAAAGTACGCTGCAGTTCCAGTTTGTGCAGTTTCTACAGCAGGGGTGGCCAGTCTTGTTCAGAAAGGGCTGCTGTGTATGTGGGTTTTCGCTGCAACTCCCTAATTACTAATTAGAGGACTGACTGACTGAAGAGTCTTCACACCTGGGTTTGAACAGCTGACCTCAAGGTTATACCAAAATCCTGCATACAAACTGGCCCTTTGCGGATAAGACTGGTTAATCATCCGTTTTACCTTGGTTCTTATATTTTCACGGCACAGTTAGTTGTTCATGAAGGATGATTGCCTTCCATATGCATAACTATGAGTAACTTTGACTTTTCCTGCTGTGTTAAAAGGATATCTTTATACATATTTACTTTCATTGCCATTTACTTTATTTATCAGACTCCATTTGTGCAAAGCAACACACAAGTGAGGCGAATGTACCACTGTAATACCCTCCTTTCTGGTTATCCATCTGGATCCTTCCATAAACTAAAATTGGTACAAAATTCAGCAGCCAGAGTTCTTACAAAAATTATAAAATCCAATCATATTAGCACTGTTCTGTGCTCCCTTCACTGTCTTCCAGTTAAGTCTCGGATTGATTACAAAATACTGCTATTAACTTACAAATCACTGAATGACTTTGCACCAGAAGAGATCTACTGGCTTCTTTCAACCCTCCTCGCCTGCTTCGATCTCAAGAGGCAGGATATCTATTAGCACTTAGAGTAGAAAGAACTATGGCAGGCTGCAGAGGATTCTCTTATAGAGCTCCGCAGCTGTGGAATAGTCTCCCAGTGGATGTGTGGGATTCAGGCTCATTCTCAGTATTCAAGTCTAGACTAAAAACACACTTGTTTAGTCTAGCTTATAGGGACTCTTGTTCTAGCTCTAGCTAACTCCTCACTCCCAGTTAGACCTATAGTGTGAGGTGTAGAGCTGGGTGGGGATCGGTGCCATTGGCTTTGGATGAACTGAACTGTCATTGCTGTCTCTCCAGCTTCACCCCCCTTGTGGAATTGGAGTGCTGACGTTCAGGGACTCCCCATGCCTGCGTTCCCACCTGCTTCTCCCTCATACTTATGCCGCCATAGCCATATCTGCCGGAGCTTACATATTACACTCACCTAACTGTTTGCAATCTCTCTATCTCCCCTCCTTTGGCTAATGCACTTTTTATTTCCCCTACCCCTCCTGGGGTGTGCTGCCAGGAGACCTAAAAATATCATGATATTCTTCCTACAATGCTGCCTGCGATGCCTCTACTACCTGTGACATCTTCTCAGCCTGCCTGCCCGTCTGCCTGTGATGTCTCTCCTATATTCCCTGCTGCCATACCATGCACTGTCCATCCTGCCATCAGAAGCAGCACCAGCCCCTGCCTGCCATCACCTGCCTGCCCCCACTTTGAGATGCAAATCTTAAAATTTGTACAGTGTAAATTAGGATTTTGCCATCATGTTCATTTGACTTCCTCTGCTGGCCCCTGGAGGATGGGCTCCCTCTTTGAGTCTGGGTTCTTCCTCCTAGGGAGTTTGTCTTTGCCACTGTCACCTCTGGCTTGCTCACTAGGGGCATGGACCAGGGACAATGGAAAGTACTTTGATACAATATAATGTTGTGAAAATGCGCTATACAAAATAAGGTCTATTGATTGATTTATCCTCTTTATGGGCATACTCCATTGAGTCCATTGAAGGGCTCACGCTTACACATTATTGATATTTAGAGACACTAGTTCACCAGTTTTGGACTGTGAGGGGAATATAGAGTTTCTTGGGAAATCTCGTACCACAGCTTTGAAGAAGTGTGGAGCTGTAAGGCCCAACTACTATCCAGAGAGTGGCATGCTGGCTAAAAGGTGTTTATGAAGTTTTATGCTTGATCTGTAGTGATTTATGTATTGATTTATTTACAGTGTTGCCAGCTTCTGTCAGCTGGCTGGCATGAGATTTTCAATTTGAGACAAGTCTGCACACACATTTAGCCTACATGTATGAGACAGTTGTATTACATCTGTAAGGTTTGTAAAACTACCCCAACGCTTTTGATGTAGCTAATTTTAGGTTTATAGTGGAATAATATATATTTGCAGTTAGATTTCTTATGCGAGCGTGAGTCTGAAAGTCTGAGTGTCATGCCAGATCCTGTTTATTTATTCTGTAAGACTTCTACAATTACTGCAAAAATTTTACACCAAGTAATTAATCCATTATATGTGCATGGTATAAAATAATTTTTCTGTGTTTAGCAAGTCCCAGAGCAGAGTGCCTGCTGAGACGAAACTACGGGAGCGTGAGACACGGTTTTACGGCTAAAATAGCGAAACTGAGTGCCGCAACGTCCCTGAAAAATTCGGAACCAAATTCTGTCGGTTCCGCGTTTTCCTACCGGCGTGGCTTTCGTTATGGACATACCACTTCCGGTTTCTGTTTCCTGTCCGTCTGGAGCAAGGTAGCGGGCTCAGCGTAAGGTATATTTCGGCGTGTTTACTTCACTTTTAGTTTCTTGCATAGATAGCAAACGTAGTGAGACGTATTACTTATATTTTGTTAGCTGCCTACGTCGTATAACTTTCTGTGCAAAGTTCTCTGACTGTCATGACATTAGCAGCCGGATTTAGTTATAAAAACAAAGCAATAAAGAAAGGTAGTAGGTGTGGCTGTATGTTTCAGTTGTAATGTGGCTTTAATGACCTCTCTTTCTTACCCTTTATAAGTGCTTGTATAATTGAGAGGAGGCTGTACGACTGCATTAATATGTAATATATTTATGCAGATGCTGTTTTATTTTAGCTGCTGTAGTTTAAAGACTGCGAACTATTACATGCACATCGTCGGTATGTATCATGGCCATATCCTGTCATCTGTACAGAACATTCTGGTTTATTGTTTGAAATGCATTCTCAAGTAAAGCATTTATTTAAAAGCATTTAGTATAATAAAAAGCATTAATTTAGTATAATGACGGATTACATTTGACAAACATAATTTTGTGAAGAGGAATAATTTTTGCGAGTTTGACTATGAGATTTCCTTTCAGTGATCTGAAACTGATTGATGTTGTGCAACTTGTGAAGGATGATCCTCTTTCGGTTAGCAGTCCAAGCCTGTTCAGAAAATGGAGTTTGCAGAGCTGATAAAGACGCCCCGCGTGGATGGGGTGGTCCTGCACCGACCCTTCATGCCCACGGTGGAGGGGACCCTGTGCCTGACGGGGCACCACCTCATCCTCTCCTCCCGGCAGGACAGCATAGAAGAGCTGTGGCTCCTTCATTCCAACATCGACTCTATTGAGAAGAGGTTAGAGCTGCTGTTTGCCAGTGATTTCTGTGGTGTGTGATGCTAAAACACCTTCACTGTTCCTGGCATTGCCTTCTGCTCCTTTCCTAGACTTTGGGGAAGTGTATTTTGTAGAGGGATGTTAGCTGGTTGTTCCATTTTTGGATTTATGTTTAATCTGCACTGGGACAGTTCAGTGCTTGTTTTTTTATGAACTCCATCTTAGAGCTGCATATGTTGTCGTTATTTGTTATTTGGTTATTTTGGATTTATTTTGTCCCAGTTAAACATTTCCAAATTATACAATGAATAAATGAATGAATTTTAAAATGGGAGTGTCCTGTAGAGTCATGTTGGAGTCTTTTAATTCAAAATAACTTTTTACTCAGATGATAATCATCTCAGGGTTTGTTTCAACTTCTATTCTATTCTGTCTATTCTCAAACCGATGGGAGTAACGCCTTGGTTAAAATCTTGCCAAAGACTTGATAAAGCGATACACACCAAGGAGAGTACAGATAAATAAAGGAAAATGACACAACAAGCGTATTTTTAGATTGATAAGAATGTAACGTTACTGGGGTCACCCTATAGCCCTGGACAGACGTTCTGGAGCAGAATCAGGAAAAGTAGTTTTTTAGCTTATGTTTACCTCTGCTTAACACATTCTTACCTATCTGCTGTGCAGCTCCAGAGCCCCCCCCCCCCTCATGTCTGTGTATCACAGTTCCATTACACATTCTCACCGTAGGTTTGTGGGGTCACTGGGGACCATTGTGGTCAAGTGTAAAGACCTGAGGGTCATTCAGCTGGATATCCCAGGGATGGAGGAGTGCCTGAACATCGCCAGCTCCATCGAGGTGATGAGACCCTTCCCAAGTGGCTGGATCTGTCCGCTTCCTAGGCCCCACATGCCCAGTCACTGCCCCTCCTCTCTCTGCAGGCCTTGTCCACACTGGACTCCATCACCTTGATGTATCCCTTTTTCCATCGGCCGATGTTCGAGGTCATCGAGGATGGGTGGAACCTTTTCCTTCCTGAGGAGTTTTTCAAAGACATCGAGTCCTCGGTACAGATATTGTTTCTCTTCCCTTTTCTAATTTGATGGGATATTAGTATTTTTTTCCTGGCCTGCAGTCGAAAGCGGTGAAGTCTTGCTTAGTAAAATTTGCAGGTGTTTGTGAAACTAACTCTTAATGGCATTTTTAGTTTGGTCGTTTGTCTGATGGCGAATTAAAACGGTGCTAAATGGTTTTCCATACAGACAGATGAGTGGAGGTTGAGCAGCGTTAACAAGGACTTCTCCGTCTGCCCAACGTACCCCGCACTGGTGATCGTACCCAAAGCCGTGGATGACGACACCCTGTGCAAGGTCGCCACCTTCAGGCATGGAGGCCGCTTCCCGGTTCTCAGCTACTACCACAAGAAGAATGGCATGGTGAGGAGAGGGTGTGGCATTGCGTGCGGGGGGCACGGCACGTTGTGCGGAGCGTGCGGCACGTTGAGCGGAGGGTGCGGCACATTGAGCGGAAGCGGCACGTTGAGCGGAGGGCGTGGCACGTTGAGCGGAGGGTGCGGCACGTTGAGCGGAAGCGGCACGTTGAGCGGAGGGTGTGGCACGTTGAGCGGAAGCGGCACGGTGAGCCGAGGGCGTGGCATGGTGAGCGGAGGGTGTGGCATGTTGAGCGCGGCACAGTGAGTGGAGGGCGTGGCATGTTGAGTGGAGGGCGTGGCATGTTGAGTGGAGGGCGTGGCATGTTGAGTGGAGGGCGTGGCATGTTGAGCACGGAATTTTGAGCGTGGCACGGTGAGCGGAGGGTGTGGCACGGTGAGCGGAGGGTGTGGCATGGTGAGCGGAGGGCGTGGCATGGTGAGCGGAGGGCGTGGCACGGTGAGCGGAGGGCGTGGCACGGTGGGCAGAGGGTGACCTGTGGGTGCTTGCCGAGCTCCAATAGCGCGACATCTGGTTGTGGACTGAAAGCTGCATTTTAAGAATGGCCCAGTATAAACTGTGCTCAGAGATTGTCTTTTAATCGTTGTTCCAGACTGATACAGACACCCAGCTGTATGTTTGGTCCCACATAACAGAAACTGTCTCTGTATTGCACATTTCCTGGTTAGTATGACGCATATGTTTTACGAGGGCTGATCGTCTGTAAGTTTTTTTTCTTTTTTTGTACTTACTTTTAAACAGGATACATAACAATAAAATAGTCAACATGATCTTTGTAGAACTGAAAAGAAAAGGAACTTGTTATAAGTAACTGTAGCCATTTCTTTGTGTTCATACATCCATTGTGGTTTTCCTGTTTTCTTTTCTCTTCATGAAATGTCCTCTTTACTCGCATTACCAGTGGCAAAAGGGCCCATTATTCATGGCAGGATGTAATGAAAAGGGAGTTTGCTTATTATCCCCCCCCCCCCCCCCCCCCCGCTTCAGCTCCTTTATGAGGTTAACCCGCGCTGTTGCCATGACTGCTATTGTTCCGTGTCCAAGTGATGGCCCGTGCTGCTCCAGAACCAGAGTTGCCTCTTCTGCTGGTCCGTGACCCTGGGCTGGACCTCTGGGCAGGGTCTGGGGGGTGCAGAGTGGTCCGTTCCAGATGGATATGGACAGAATGAGTGTCTCTTACATGGAGGCTTCGCTGCATTGCTTAGAAGGACTATGGATAATAAGGAAATTTTTGCAGTGTAGGAATCAGCCTTACGGGAGTTATTTCATTCGAATGGCTTGAGATTCCTGTTGTACAAAAGCCTCTTTTGATGCCAGTGACCGGATTCCTGTGCTGGAGGCTGACTGTGGGCCGACCACATTCAGACGGCAGCTTTGGGGGGGCAGCGTGACCTTTCGCCTCCCCACCCCCAGAGTCCGACTCCCAGAAAGTAACATGGCGTGTTTTCTGAGCGGGCGGGGCGGGGATGATGCCTGGAGCTGCTGGGCGCCTGCCCCCCTTCACCTTCCGACAGCCCCGCAGAATTACCAGTGAGAAATGTAGCACGTTTTTCCAAAATGTATTTTTGGAACTTTGATATGCTTACTGGGCGCTACAGGCTGCGCGGGACGTCTGTGAATGACGTCACTGACGAGTCCAGAGATGGAAAAACAAGGTGCGTCAGTGTCGCAGTGCCCGCTGGGGCTGGCCCACAGGTCTGCCTGCCCCTCACGCTCCAAAAGCCCCCCCGGGCCTGGTCATGATGACCCAGTCCTTATCTCCCGCTCAGGATAGGAACGCTTCAGGCGTCTGCGAGCAGACCGAGCCCCTGTTTATTGACTTCACTCTAATGGCGTGCGCATCGTAAATGAGGCCATCTCCTCTGCACCCACTTCTCCCCCTCCTCTCTGTTCTCCCGTTTTCCTCTCATTTTTCTTGAGGGCAGCCGCTCTCCCTCCCTTAGCTGGCCTGCTCTCCCCTCACCCTCTCTCTTACTCTCTTTTTATTTAAAATGTATTTTTAACTCGTAGGCCGGGCGGGAGGGTAACCGGAGACGTACATGGCGCATCTGCAGGGACCTGTAATTTCGATGTACGTTACGTTGTGTGTATGCAGCTGTTTCATAGGTCTTTTATGCTGTAAGCAGGGACCTGGGGAGCCGGATGACTGGAACTGCGGGCAAACGAGTGGATGGTTGCTGTAGGTTGGTTAGCGGGTGTTTTGGGAATGAGGTTTTGATTTGTGTGGTCCGTCGATCCTAGGAGCTATCCACGAGATGAGAAGCACCTTCTAGGTTCTGCAGACTGTCCCTCGGCCTGATAGGATGGGTTCTTCTTTGTGAAGTTGAAATGATCTGCATGAACAGCACTGGTACCCTTCCGGAAGTAGAGGGCGGAGCCTCGTCAGTAAGCGTATCGCCGTTGAAGGGCTGTGGAGGAAGTGGTGCGGCGCTCGTTTGTTGATGTCTGTCCTGATAAAGGATGCCGTCGCTCAGCAGTTCAGGCTCAATCAGCATATTTCATCTGTGTTTCCCCTGTTTGCATGAAACACAGCTTGGGGAGGGTGGGGGTTGGTAGGGTTCAGAGCTTTTGCTTGGGGGCATTTTACATGCCAGCAGATCTGCTGTCTGACAGATTTTCTTTTTGGGTTTAAACTTTTATTTTTTAGTTTGTTCTGCGTGATTCTGGGTGGCGGGTGTTTTCCGCTGTCGTTTGAGGGCAGCTGTGCGGACGCCTGCAGTGGAGCGGCCGTCTGCAGTGGAGCGGCCGTCTGCAGTGGAGCGGCCGTCTGCAGTGGAGCGGCCGTGTATCAGTCAGGCCCAGTCTGTTTACTGAAGCACTTAATCAGCTGATCCTAATTACCCCTTTATTTGAGTGGAGTTTATGTTTAATTAACTTTATATACCAGATGTTTGTTCAAACAAGCAGATTGCAAGCCATGTACAACAAGTTAATCTTGCTAGTGGTGATTACTGACCAAAATCTACGCACAAGCACACACACCTGCCGGTGCCTTAATAATATGTTTACTGAGGAATCATCATTATTTACTGAATGTCTTTATTAAGGAGTGAAACGATGGAAAATAGAAAATAGCATGAACATGCAACCCTCATGCCAAAATCATAAGCTGAGTGTAAGCTGTGAGTTAAAGCGACACTGTGTATGAGCCAAAACATAATGAGCACCTGTGAATTGAATAATGTTAATTATCTTATAAAAACTATGTGTGTCAAGGTCTGGGATATATTACACAGTAAGCCTGCATTCATTACTTGTAGTTGACATGCAGAATGCAGAAGAATTTGATAGGGAGCACATTGTTATGGCCTGACAACTGGGTCAGAGCATCTCTGAAATGGCGGCCATGGTGAGTAGAGAGATCCGAGGAGGGAAAGACCACAAACCAGCAGAAGGGTGACTGGCACTAATGGTAGATCGTTTTGATGGTCATAGGAGTGATGAGTCATGGATCCCTGCTGCGTGTGGGGCTGTGCGGCCACGGACCACACGTGTCGGTCCAATGCGTCCCCATGACGTAACTGGAAACGGGATTCATCAGACCAGGCTACCTTCCATTCCTCCAAGGTGCAGTTCTGTGCCCCTTGTGGACACTCTGAAGCCTGTCTGCTAGCAGAGCTCTGTCTGCGATAGTGACGCTTCATTAATCCCCGTGGGGAAGCACTCTATTCGCCTACGCCATCTTGCTCTCAATGAGACAAACATGTCTAAGCAAGCTTGGGGTAGGTGTGGAGATCACGGCAAGGCGTCAGCCAGCATGCAGCACCCCGTTGAGTTTAAGGCCCTTGCTCAAGGGCCCACAGACATGTGACTATTCTGCTGAGGCTCAAACCAGCGACCTTCCGATCACAGGGACGCAGGCTTATCCCGCTGAGTCTCACACCGTGCTGTGCTTGCTACGGAATACTTTGCACACAGGCTATGTCAGATGCCAGCAGAAGCTCAGACCTCCCCCCCCCCCCGCCCCCTCTGCTGCTGTCCCCAGGTGATGATGCGAGCGGGCCAACCCCTGACCGGCACCAACGGGCGGCGCTGCAAGGAGGACGAGAAGCTGATTAACGCCACGCTGCGGGTCGGCAAGCGCGGCTACATCATCGATACGCGCACCATCGGTGTGGCTCAGCAGGCCAAGGCGCGGGGGGGCGGCTTTGAGCAGGAGGCTAACTACCCACAGTGGAGGCGCATCCACAAGGCCATTGAGAGGTACACCCCCCCCCCAACCCCCCCGGCCCACGGTGCTCGTCGACGCCTCAAAACGCAGTTACATTCCTCACCAAGAGGCTGGTCTATATCATGAGTATCGATTTTATGCATTTGTCAATTCAAAGACGTATTTGTAAACTAAAAGTATCGCCGGGAGATCGATAAGGTCAGAAAGCAGGAATCTGGGTGAGGCTGCTTGGTGCAATGAAGGGAATTACCTCCCTGCTGAAAGGTTAACTGCGTAACGTCTATTTCATTTCAGTTTATTTATTTAGCAGGTGATTTTGTCCAAAGCTTGCTCAAGGGTCCAGTAGAGATATGATTGCTCTGCCAGCCATGGGATTCAAACCCACAACTTTCTGGGCACGGGCTCCGCTCTACACCACTTGCTGCTTCTTTTTTTTTTATAGATTTCGTTGGTGTTTAATATGGTTTTGCTATCAGCGTTGTATTTTTCTGAACTTTCCTGGACAGACGACCTCACTCAGCTGAACCCACATCTAAAAGTGCTTTAGGGTTAACACTTATCCATTCATCTGTCCATCCATCCAACTTCTATCTGCTTGTCCTGTTCAGGGTCTTCAGGGGCCTGGATACACCCTGGATGGGATTGGTTCACAGTTACATCAAACCGATCTGGAGATTTCACTTTGGCTATCAAGACAGTGATGTGAGGAGATGTGAGCCTCTTCTCCCCTGTCGGCACACAGGTCTAACATCCTCCAGGAGAGTCTGATCAAGCTGGTGGAGGCCTGCAACGACCAGAGCCAGAACATGGACCGCTGGCTGAGCAAGCTGGAAGCCTCAAACTGGCAAACCCACGTCAAAGAGATCCTCACCACGGCCTGTCTGGCTGCGCAGTGCATTGACCGGTGAGGAGTCCCCTCAGACCCCAACTCCCCCCCCCGGTGCGATTTTTCTGCTGGGCCCACGTACTTCTTGCCAGTGACAACAGGAACACTGAGCACCACCACAGATAGATGCAGATAAGGTTATAATGAAGTACATCTACAAGGAGGAAATGAAAAAATTGGGGTTTATAGAAGTATAGAGATCCAGGGTTTGCTGGTCACTTGGCCCCACCCCAGGGTTAACCTGTTAGGTCAGTGATTGTCTTTTGTTTTATTTTCCTTTCGGGTTAGGGAGGTTTTCGTTGATACACGTGTGGGTAGTTCACTGGGTTTTCTTTATTGCTTTGGCCTTTGTCACTCCCGAAGGTCACCCTGGTGTGTCACGTCCCCTACCCCCATATTTTCAGAATACATCCTTTCTTATTCGTAACCCATTCTGTCAGTCCATTTCCTTGTCCTCTGCTCCCTTATCCTCCCTCCCCCCCCCCCTGCTCTCATTGCCGGTTACGTCCCAACCTTAGACCGGGACGTAACAGAATAACGCTGTGGATATGCCTTCCAGCTGAAGGTCTCTCATCATGTTGGATGTCTTCTGACTCTGCTTATTCCTCCCCCCCCCGCGACCCCCGACCCCAGGGAGGGCGCCTCTGTGCTGGTCCACGGAACTGAGGGCTCCGACTCCACGCTCCAGGTGACGTCGCTGGCCCAGATCATCCTAGACCCGGGCTGCAGGACCATTAGGGGCTTCCAGGCTCTGGTGGAGAGGGAGTGGCTACAGGTATGTGGTGGGGTCTAAGCCCACCAGTGACACCAGTTTGCCAGTGTAAAGGCAGCACTGAAGAGCACAGACTCATAAAGGTCATAAATGCCTATGATGCCAATCTGTCCCATCTGCTGAAATACAAAAGTATAGTTCTCTACCAAATAAACAGCAAACCCATGCGTTGACATGTATTCGTTGCATGCTGTTCCGTTACATCATTCTCGGTTCTGAACGCACAGTGAAATGTATTCATTTCTTGACACGGACAGAACCTAGACTCACAAGTGGATATTCAACACAGAAAACATATTAAGCTGTTAGTTGGTCATGGTTAGTGGTGCAGATCTTCCCATTTTCTGGTTTCCCAATAACTTACCCGTAAATTACAGCAGAGACAGACTAGTTAAAAGGGTAAGACTGTCAGTCCCGTTCTGCCGAACTCGGATATGTTACTGGAAACGCATCCAACATGCTAACTCATTTGAGATGACGTCATCTGAATGCGTGTTCAACCGCAGCCAGGCAGAAACAGTTCATTAACTTGCGGCATTTGAGGTGTTTTTGCCAGGAAATTCAGACCTGGTTATAGTAACTAAATAATTATATATCATTACAGATATGCAATCATACTCGATAGTAGAGAACACAAGGTTTAGTTCATTATGCTTGATTTTTTTAACTTTTATTTTCCATATTTATTTTATAGATTGTAAATAAGCTGACAGACGTATTGCTCTGTTTAGATTACAACTGTTCCTAATTGTGTTAATAATAAACAATTTTGAAACAAATTCTGCTTCCCTGCTGTACTGAAATTACACTGAGCTGTGAAACCAGAGCCAGGGTTTGCATTGAACCGTGTATTTTGTGCTACACTTCTAGTGTTAATCTTCAATACATCGATAATCTTTTATCTCCCCGACCCTCCTGTCCCTCCTCTGTCCCTATCTTCCATCCTTCTGTCATTCCTCTGTCCTTCTCTCCCTCCTCTGTCCTCCTGTCCCTTCTCTGTCCCTCTCTTCTGTCCTCCTGTCCTTCCTCTTTCCCTCTCTCCCGCCCTCCTGTCCCTCTGTCCTCCTCTCTTGCCTTTCTCTCTCCTCTGTCCTTCTCTCCTGTCTCTCCAATCCCTCTTTTGTCCCTCTTTCCTGTCACCCCTCTGTCCCTCTTCTGTCCCTTGTCCTTCTCTCCCTTCTCTGCCCCCATCCCCTTCTCCTGCCCTCCTGTCCTTCCCTGTTGCTCTCTTTTTTGTCTCTCTATTCTTCTTCTGTCCCTCTCTCCTGTCCCGTCCCTCATCTCTCCCCCTCTTTTGTCCTCCTACTCCTCTGTCTCTCTCATGTCCCTCCATTTTTATCTCCTTGTCCCTCCTCCATCCCTCTCCCCTGTCCCCCTCTCCTGTCCTCCTGTCCCTACTCTCTCCCTCTGTCCTGTCCCATCTCTGACCATCTCTCCTGCCCTCCTTTGTCCCTTTCTCCTGTCCTCCTGTCCCTCCTCTATCCCTCCCATCCCGCAGGCCGGCCACCCCTTCCAGCAGCGCTGTGTCCAGTCGGCCTTCTCCAACAGCAAGCCGCGCTGGGAAGCTCCCGTCTTCCTGCTCTTCCTGGACTGTGTCTGGCAGATCCTGCACCAGTTCCCCTGCTCCTTCCAGTTCAACGAGCACTTCCTGGTGTTGCTTTTCGAGCATGCATACGCCTCGCAGTTTGGCACCTTCCTGGGGAACAGTCCAGCTGAGCGGTCAGTGCGCAGAGTCTCCCACAGCGACTGTGTACTCGCAACGTGCAACACGCACCTACTCTAGGCTTCACATGCAGCTACATACGAGAAAGCCAGTGTGCGACCTGAGAATGCTAATCCACAGTTTCTACCTGCCAGAATTAAATGAATAAATGTTGAAGGTCGTTGGTTCAGATCCCAATGTCAGTAGGTGATTTCACCGCTGGACCTTTGAACAAGGACATTAATCCCCAGTTGCTTGAGTGACTGGCTGATCCTGCTCATCCTGAGTATGACTATTAAAAGTTAATGTTTGGCAGGTTAACAGTCATTTGAGTTGATTGAAAACCTCAATATGGACATCTGAGATTTTTTTCATTTACTGCTGTCTGAACATGTTCTCAGACACCTTGACGTGCAGGAAGCCATTGGCCAAAGGCCAGTTAATTTGACTGGAGTTTGAAAGTGGAGAGGGCATTAGAAGATTGAACATGACTTTGGAATATTACTTTAATATATAAAAGGTTCCTTGCCAAGAAGTCTGTTTACTTTGAGAAGGTTCTGGATGAGATTTGCATATCAGATATCAGACACCTCTTCTGAATTTCTTTTGTTGGCGGGAGACAGCTGTTCACTGCACTGGTTTTCTACTCATTTAACGATTTGGAGTATGGTACCTGCCCTAATTAACCTGCGCTAATGGAGCTGAAGGCATTAGAGATGTCAGTTTCGTGCAGCCATCTATCTCATCATAACCATACAGCTGTGGCTGATTATTATGGGGCTACTATTGTAGCAAAATTATTTGCAAATGTGTATGGAAAGGTGTGTGATTGTATTCAATACCTTACCGTAAAAAAAAGTCATTGCAGCCTTAGAAAGGGTTCAACCTAGGGCTACAAGAATGATTCCTGGTCCTAGAGGAATGTCTTATGAGGAGAGGTTAGCTGAGCTGAATCTGTTCAGCCTCGAGCAATGGAGATTAAGGGAGGACATGATCCAGGTATATAAGATTCTAACAGGTCTGGATGCTGTTCAGCCAAATAGTTACTTCAATATTAGTTCAAATTCAAGAACTTGTGGCCATAGGTGGAAATTAGCGGGAGAACATGTTAAACTGGATTTGCGAAAGCACTTCTTTGCACAGTGTGTACTTACAGTATAGAATAGTCTTCCTGTTAGTGTAGTGCAAGCTAAAACCTTGGGTTCCTTTAAATCAGAGCTAGGCAAGATTTTAACAACTCTGAGCTATTAATTTACTGTAGTTCTCCCATAACGAGCTAGATGGGCCGAATGGCCTCCTCTCATTTGTAAATTTCTTATGTTCCATGTGTGCATAATCAGATTTGTAAATGTGTAAAAGAATTTGTAAATGCATACTGAGATTAGCAAATGTTAATAGGGATCTGTAAATGTGTGTTCAGAATCCGTATGTGTAATCAGATTTATATATGTAATGAAATTTGCAAGTGTACTGAGATATGTACCTGTGTAGACAAATCTGTAAATATGTATTAATTGACTAAAAAGTCTAAGTATTTTGCTCCAACAGCTGTAAATACAGACAAATCATCAGTTACAACTTAGGCGGACCTTTCAATCGGCTGTCTTTTTACGCATGATTTTTGCTTCACTTCTGCCACAGCAGATCTGCAAATGCGTGTGGAGATTTGTCTGTGTGTGGAGGTTCTGAGGGCTTAGGGTTTAGGGCTTAGGGTTTAGGGCTTAGTGCTGTCCCACTCACAAGCTTTTGAGGGCCTAAGTGTGGAACGCCATCAGGGTATAAACCGTGAGACAGTACCTCTCGACACGGAACGCTGAATGATATGCTGAATTATATGTCTGATTTGGAACAAATTAATTTAAAATGAGCAAAGTAGTCAGGGCTAGGAGTAGGACTGAATTTTTAACTGGGATTTTTGATGCTATATGTTTTGATTTAACATTACCATTATCTAGGCTATTGAACGTACATTCTTAGCAGCAGGGTTTAATTTTGCGTTCAGAAATATAATTCGGCATATCAGACAAAACAATACATCTCCAAGTAAAAATTTTCGCAAATTTTGAGCTTCAGTGGTTGCGATTAAAACCCGAAATATTGTCATATGGCATCCATTACAGACTGGACCATTTGCCCTTGAATACGAAGTGTTAGTGTAGGTATGTCTTAGTACTAAAACACCTTTTTAACATGTACGTTTACACCGTGTTGATGCGGAATAAAAAGGCATGTTTTGTAAATGCATATTTTTATGCTGTCCAAACATTTTACTGTATCTAGAGGGTAAAAAAACACCGCGTGGAGACGTAGAGAGGGGAAAAAAATTTGTGTGTATTCTGTCTGATGGTTTACACCCTGCCGGCGTTCCATACATAAGCCCTCAAAAGCTTATGAGTGGGACAGCGTTAAGCCCTCAATCATTTGGCAGTGGGACAACACTAAGCCCTAAGCCCTCAGAACCTCCACACACAGACAAATCTCCACACGCATTTGCAGATCAGCTGCGGCAGAAGTTTGGCAGAAATTACACGTAAAATGACAGCCAATTAAGAGGTCCACCTGAGTTGTAACTGATAACTTGTCTGTATATGCAGGTCTTGGAGCAAAATACTTAGACTTTTTAGTCATTAATACTTATGTACACATTTACAGATTTGTCAACACACGTACAAATCTCAGTACACTTGCAAATCTCATTACCCATACGAATCTCATTGCGAACACAGATTCTGAATACACATTTACAGATTGCTGTACACATTTGCAAATTTCAGTACGCATTTACAAATTCTTTTACACATTTACAAATCTGATTATGCGCACGTGGTTTGAGATACAATCACACAACTCTCCATACATATTTGCAAATAATTTTGCTACAATAATAGCCCCATACATTATTCCCTTTATTACAGCCTCAGCGAGGTCAGAAGACAACACTGATTTCTGTGGCACTTCAGCGTGTTTGTGAACTGAAGACTGACGTGTGGATAACATGTCCTGTGTCTGCATGCGTCTGCGTGCTCAGGGTGAAGCTGAAGCTACCCCAGAAGACTGTGTCTCTGTGGTCCTGGGTGAACCGGCCCCAGGAGATGGAGCGCTACCTGAACCCGCTGTACGAGGCCAACAGCCTGGTGATCTGGCCGTCGGTGGCCCCACAGAGCCTGCTGTTGTGGGAGGGTAAGGGCCTGCCTCCTACGTCCTCACCGTCACCTGCCGCTCCTCACTAGAGGCAGAAATTCTTTATCGATAGTCACACGCAGGCTTAGGGGTCTGGCAGGTAATCGCACTGGAATCTTTTTTTATTCGCATACCTGGTAAGTTTAAAGTCAAAGGTGATGATGTTTGGGTTAGGCTGAGTTGCATCTTTTGATGGCTGCTAGGTTTACGGATGTTCAGCAGTTATGTTCCAGCAGAGGGCAGTATAGAACATACAAAAATGTCTGTGGGAACATGGAATCGATGTAGCACTTGTCTGGCTGCGAATATGAATGTCTCTGCATGTGATGTTTACTGGCTGTTTCTGTGCTGAAATTTGGGGCATCGCCACTCGCGGGGGAGGTGCCCTTTTCGGGCTTGTTGGCGGCTTCGCCAGTTTGGACAGACTTCTTGGCTCCCGCCATGTTTTTGCTCTGTTTTGATGAGATTTGGGGCAGTGATCAGCCAGCACCTGGTTATGAGAGCTAATATCCGCAGCGGCAGGTGTCTGGGGGTCTCAGTTTCAGCAAAGCCCCGAGGAACCAGGGTGACCTACATTACTGTCCAAGCAGCAGCCCAGAGCTGGGAGAGGGACAGTCCAGCTGGCTTCCCCAATCCCAATTAGAGTCCCGCCGAATTTATACTGGCTGTGTTCTCACCAGCCCCCCAGTGCTGGGGGCAGGTTGGCATGTTAATATGTGACATGCGCGTTTTACGACGAGTCGGTTTGTAGGCACGGCCAGAGCGGAAGCACAGGGTTATAGTCAGGGATGAGAACTTACGAGTTTTTGCAACTAGTCAACTGCTGTACTTCTGTTATAAAAATAAGCAAACAAACAAGATTAGTCCGACATGCTTTTTTTTTTTTTTTTTTTTACTAACCTCTGGGCTGCTGTTCATTTTCTTGGCTTCATGCCAGTGGGTGAGCTTAATTTCCCACCCTGGCTGTAACGAATGCTGTCTCGCGTTAGACGTGGCAGTGAGTCTCCCTGAATGGGCTACGCTGCCACACCGCGAGGATTCCTGGGGGGAATTCAAACGTCTGTGAGTACGGGAAGGCTCCCTTCCCAAATGTGTGCTTAAATGATTTCTTTTGTTTGCTTTTATTGAACTTTTCAAGAAAAATGCAGTTAAATATCCCAGGGCACAAATATAAAGAGCAAGTTAATAAGGACAATTACATTAACATCGGATACAAACAATTACAAAAAAAAAATATTTAAAAATAGAAATAAATATGGAATAGAAAACAACCCAAATAAAGAAAAAAAACAAACAAAAAACGTTAACGCTTAAATGTTATATTTGTCTCCTTAAATGATCTTTTTCCGACAGTTCAGCCGCTACAAGAATGAGATGTGCGACCAGCTATGGGTTCCTCAAGCTGTGATAGCTATTTTTTATTTTGTGATTCTGAACTGGTGTTTGCGCCTTTCTTGGGGCTGGTTGAATTACTCCCAGCTCTCAGATCTTTATGACAGTGTGTCTCAACCCGGTTCTTGGAAACCCACAGACAGTCCGTGTTTTTGTTTCCGGCTTCCGGGAGGAAAAATGTGGACTGTCTGGCAGGGAGCTGGGACGGAGCAAAAACATGCCCAGTCATGTGGGTCCTCGAGGACCGGGTTGGAAAACACTGCCAAATGCTGGTATGTGTTCCTGGCATTGATGGTGCCCAGGCTGGATCTAGATGGTCGTCACATCGTAGTTTATTCACACAGATTACTGCAGATTGGGGGGGGGGGCGTGGTGTGGACGGCATGAAATTTAAGGATGGCCGTCGCCATGCCACGGGGATGATCTGCGACATTGACCGTGACATGTGGCTGACAGTAAGCTAGCGAACTAAAGACAGATGGTGACTGTGACCACAGATATGAGCTGAACCCCCAACATGACCGGCGTACAGGCAGAAATGCATTGTGCTAATATTAAACCAAGCTGGGCTTAGCACTCAAATTTGGGATCTGCTTGTTATAAATAACTGTGGATACGTCATCCAACTGATCTCGTTAGCCACTTAGCACTGCTAGCAGACTTTCGGCAGGGCGAAATACGGCCGTCGAATCAGAGGACCTCATACGGTCAAGGAATTCCAAAACGAACCGGGATAGAGGCCTCAAAAAGGTAGTCGAGACTCCGCTCGGGTCTGATTTCGAAGACTAAAAAACTCTGTTAAAGCTGCTCATATGGTAATGATAAAGCTGATTTCTGGCAACCGGTTAGCTAACTGTTAAATATCATCTGAGAAGCTTGTCTGACCAGCTCAAAGAGTTTTTTTGCGTGCTTGGGGAGCTATTAATAGATTTTCTCATGGATCTTAGTAACAGTGACTCAGTGACAATGGTCACCATTGTGTGCTGTTTGTAGGAACCATTCAGAGTGACTCTCATTGAGTTTCCCTTTTCCAGTCCTGTTATCACAATGCATGCAGACGGACTTGAGGTTGGTGTCTGAATGTGGCTGTTGAAGTTCCAGTGAATCGCTCCCTTTGTGAGGTGCATCAAAATGGAAATTGTCTCTCTTTATTGACCCACAGGAAACGTTGTGTCAAGTTCTCAAATCCTTAGGTTGCTGAAAAGTATTTTGCAGCTTTTTAAACTGATGTCTGTTCGACTTTCAGATATACCATTGATTCTGTACTCAGTTCATGGCTAATCTTCATTTGCAATATTTTAACAGGCTGATTCCTGTCTTTGGAAACACCTCGAGGTGATGATTGCAGATATTGCTTACCAACACCACCCCACCCTTACAGAAATCTATTTACCAGTTGGGTTCCTCTGCTTTAGATCCTTTTCCTGGAAGCACAGTTTGCAAGCCAGGGAACATTCCAGTGTAGATGTATGTCTTGATATGCATAAACTGTAGCGGCCATTTAAGGTTCCCAACTAGGGTACAGAGCGAGCAGATTTGGATTTGGGAAGTTCCAGTACTGAAGAACAGAAGAGTACTGTAAAAATCCCTGGATTTCATTCTTGCCCCGCCCCAAATGTCAAGGATGCAGTGGTTGCATCCTTGCCAAACAAGACCAATCCCATGATTCATTGCACCCCAAGTTCGTTCTTGGGTGGCAAGTTTGCATGACCGGTCTTGCCAAGAGAAACGCCCCAAGAATTCTGTTCTTTGGTTTCAGTTACCAGCATCCAGGGCGACACTGGATGGGGTCTCCAGGGGTGTCGTGTGACACCTGAGAAGCTTTAAGGGCCCCCTGCTTGGGGACATGCCTGTGGTCATGGTGGTGTCCCTGTCAGCGGCTGACATTAATGCAGCCTCCTGTATTTTTAATTAAAGAACGACACTGTTTTTGAAAATCTTCTGAATGACACCAGTCATTTGGTATCTGGGAGGTGATTTTGTTCTTGAAGCATTTAGTCGGATATCTGAGACTTTAAGACGGTGTATTAATTGGCTGGTGTAATGATACTGTTGGATTATTTAATTTTCGATTAAACTGACCTAAGAGTGATATTAAACTGAACTAGATCGTATCTTGATGGTGGTTCCGCACATCCTGGCCTGACCACCCCTTGCTCCTGAACAGGGGTTTTCCTGCGCTGGAAACGCTCTTCCAAGTGCCTGGACGAGGCCTTCGAGGAGATGGTGCACATCATCGAGTGCAACAAGGAGCTGCAGAGCAAGGTGAATGCTCTGCGGCGGCAGCTGGCCCAGCTGGAGACGGGGGACGGCCTGCTGGGGACGCCCTAGCCGCCCAACTTCCCAGACACACTACCCCTGCCCTGCCCTGCTCTGCCCTGCCCTGCCCCGCCCCCCACCAGGCTGACGTTTTCCCTCACACACACTATGCCAAATGTCCACAGCTTTTTGGTTCCATGGAGCCCCTGTTGTTGTACAGGTACCTTGTGACCGAATTTCCACATTCAGCACTACAGTAAGAAAAATAACGGCGTGAGAGACGGTGGCGCCGCACAAAGCGACATGGGGCTACAGACCATGAAAATATCCCCACATAAACTTTTCCCTCTGAAATTTTAATGGATACTAGACCATATATCCTTGCCTCTTGACTAGATAATATACTGACGTATTGTTTGGCATATATTTGCCATAAACGCCATGTGAAAGATATTTTAAAATATCTAAACATCAAGCCTCTTGGAAATATCTGGTCTTTTGTGCCCCCCAACATCCACTAGAACAAATTATTATTGTTTTTTTTTCTTCAAGTAAGTTGTAAATTTCCCTAAGGCCAAAATGTACTTTGCTCACAGCGTTTGTTAATTGGGACCAAGTAATCTCAGTTTTGGCTGCCTCTGCATGTATAAGGTAATGATGGGCCCTCTCCACACGCCCCCCCCGGTCGGCGCCAGCTCAAGGTGCACTCTCATACATAAGCCAACAATTATTAAGGCACATATGCTCTAGATCTGCTCTCATTCCCTTCCATATGTAGTTTTGCGGGAGACTGGGCATTTAGCATAGCGTAGATTATGTGTCACAGACGCGTGGCAGACGCACAGTGCCAGGCTTAACAGCTCCCTAAATGTGCCCGTCTGACACCTTTATAATTCAGAGTACCAGTACGGTCATGTTGTTATACCTAACTAGCGCTTGTTTTTGGTGTTTTTTTTCCCCCCCCAGCAGCCAATTGTCACATATTGTTGTAAACTGTGAGTATAATCTTGTATAATATTCTAGTGATCACTATTGAACGCAGAAGCTCCTGCATGCTTCCCACATCTCTTCCGTCTTTCCTGGCCTCGGTTTTTCTGTCTTTATATGATTTATTGGCTACACAGTAGCGTATAATGCCTCAGAGAAAGTCTGTTTGATCAGTGAGGGTGGTTTTATCAGGCGATACTAAATAAATGGAGCCAGAAATGTGACCAAAGAGCTACAGGCAAACAGGTTCTGATGCATCGAGGGACTTCTTGGTCGATACATTTCTTCTATAATTTATTTTTGCTTTTTAAAACATTCTCCGACTGTGTGTCAAATGCCTCGGGGGGTTGCTATACTGGCCAGGGAGCTTCCTGAGAATAAAGTTTGCAGGCTAAGTAATTCAGATGGGATTTGGCACCGGTATGGCAAATTTTAAAGGTTTCATAAAACGGCCACAGACAAAGTGATGAATCGAGAACAATTTCAGACAGTTAAATGTATTTTTCAGTTTGAGGTCGTTGATGGGGAAAGAAAAAAAAATCATTACTTGAAGTGTCTTAAAGTGATTTTTTTATTTTTGTTTTCATTGAACAGTGCTGTTAAGTTACTGCGGTTTTTGGCTGTATCATGTTGTATTATAAATAATGTGTACAGTGCAATTGATTTTTTTTTTTCCCACTGACGGCATAAATATGACTGCAGTAAATGGAGTTGATGCACTAAACTTTTTCTTTGTTTGGCTTTGTGTTGTGGGTTCCATTAGAACATGTAACTACAAGCAGAACACAAATGAACTAAAATTACTACACTTTGAGTTCAGCCTAAGTATTGTACTCCTATAAAGAACCTTTAGAATTATTCTAAGGACAGAATTGGATTTGCTGTCTTAACCTTTTTTTCACTGTTTAAATCAAGTTAAAGTAGACTTCCATTTCCTAAAATATAGGACAGTTTTAGCCAGTTTAGGATTGTGATGTTTGTTACATTTGCCCTCCAATAGCCAAAGACACTAATATTTGGGTTTATGCATTTTGAATTGATTTTAGGATATAGTTATGTTCTTACGGATGCAGTGCACTGTATGTGGAGTTTGCACACTGTCCCCTTGAGGTACTGCAGTGTCCTCCCACAGTTCAAAGTGCACCTGCCAGGGTATGAGAGTGCATATGGGTGTGTGTGTGTCCCCTGCAGTGGGCTGGTATCCAGGGTGTATCCCTGCCTTGTGCCCTATGCCATCATGAACTTATTGACTTCCACCTTTAAGGACCCTTGCAAAGCAGGGTCTGAATAAAACTGAATCTGGCCTGGAATGCAGGATGTGATTGTAGGTGTGTACATTCCTGGTTAAACAATTCCTGGTCACAATTGCTTTGCTTTGCTAATTTGCTAGTAATCCAATCAGCAGCCGGATTTAACAGGTGGGCTAGAACCAAAAAGGGGGCGGCATGCTTTGGGCCCCACATGCATTCGGGTTTGACACGCCCCCTCCATCATTTGTTTGGAATGTAAACGGCAGCCATCTGGAGCGGAGTGGCACGTGCAGACCTGCACGAGTGAAGCAAGCGATGCTCTCAAGGGCAATGCAATCAGCGTCAGAGGGACAGCGGCCGTGTGCAGGGAGGCACACACATACCGGCACATCCTGCATTCCAGGCCAGGCTGAGTTTTACCCACAGCCAGATATACGAGGGTGTCCAAGGCTAGAAGTCGATCAGTCCATGACTGCAACATGGTTGTCGGGATTGTACCCACTCACTAAATTCAGGTGCACTCTTAGTGATTTTGTTAAAGACACTCAATATTCTCTTCACATAAGGGTAAAGGAAATGTATAACAAGTATCTGAAATATTGAAATTCAGAATAATATGAAAAATATAAGCATGATGTTTGCTACACCTCAAGTAATTCAGCTGAGTAAATGATGCCACTATTAGACATTTTTGAGTATTTGTGGTCTGTCTGGTTTTCAGAATCTCATAATGTAGATTATATGAATTAAAAGATGATTTTAGCCATACTCAATGCTCTCCATGGAGGAAACCAAGGTCAAATCCTCATTATTTTTTCTACAACTCCAACAATCACGATCCATTAAAGGGCACAACTAAGATGGACTGACACGTTTGACCTCGGTATTATAGAAATCCTTACTTTTGCTAATTGCTAATATCTATCATACTGCTCACAAGCAGAATAGAAGTATGGCAGCATTGCTGTAATCCTCAGCTAAGCTAAGTCTCTTCCAGTGATAACTGAGATGAAGCAGTGACTGGCTGGTTTGTTTCTGAGAGAAGAATATTGGTCCCGTGGGCAGGGGAGTTAGCAGAGCTAAGATCATATGAGCATCGACCATTTCATAACACAAGGTATTGTGTTTAATAATAAGTATATATTATATATAATAAGTAAACGCTATCCTCCTCACACACATAATTTATTTATTTCCCTCAGCATGGTCCTTCAAAGTCAGATTATCAGCGAGCGCCAGACTGGTATCTAACACTCACATTTTTGAACAGTGACTGAAACCCAGAACTTATACGTGACGCTCTCCCTCCCCCCTCCCCTCCCCTCCCCTCCCGCCGTTCCATGGTGTTCAAATAAACCGGACATTTTTGACACAGCACAGCTGTATAAATACACGCGAAGATGCTCACCGACAATAACATTACTTAAAGCCTTTAACCCCCACCGCGCCAGCCACAGATGCTATTAAAAAGGACGCTTTTAATATCGCCCCCCCCCCCATGCGGTATCAAATATTCACGTCATGCGGGCGTCACCAGGGCAGGGAGCCGCACCCCCAGTCTTTCGTCCAATCAGAATAGAGACCGGCTTCCTTCTTTGCCAGATGGCTTCCGATATATAACAGCGTCCAAGGCTGATGCAATATAGCGCCTGCTTCTGATAACACGTGTAGCATATAGCCAGCCAATCCGGGAAGCATCTGAAGGACACACAAAAAAATTGTAATTATTTTTCATAAGCACCTATATATTTTCCTGGTGAGTAAATATTTTTAAATTTTAACGTCTTACTACGTATTTCCCCATTGGTGCATTAACGATATATTATTAATTATTGATATTATTGTTAATTTATTGGAACATGTCTTCGTGTACAGTTTCAATGTACTTTTAACAGAAATGGTTTATGGTATGCTTATTGTGGACGTAGCAGCTTAGATGCCTTTGTTATATGTATTCGGTGTTACTTCGACTGTTATAAGGAACTTACTTGATAGATACGGTAACTAGGTTTAATTTAGAGAGCTGGTTATACCGGACGCAGTAACGAATGAATCACTTTTTTACTTCTCGGCTTCGTTTCTCGTGCTGCTGGATGCTGTACTTTCACTGCAGAGGCGTTCTGTACTGTAATGATGTGTATGAAAGGAAACGGAAAAATAAACGCACTACGTGACGGCTTCAGCATGTTTTCCCCTCTGCTATCGCGTCATATTTCCCCTTTACCCATTTAACTATAACGAATTTACGTGAATATAATTTTGACCATTCGATGGTGAATTATGCAAAGACATATCTGATTTCTAAGTTATAAAGCGAGTTACTCGATTTTACTTATTCCCTCCCCCCCACCACCGTCGTCAGAAATAGCATTCAGTACAGATATAAAAATATTTTTGCGATCAGACTTTTAAAACCTGAGTGGTTGGCCTGCTTATGTCGTTGGTCAGCGTAGTATCGTATTACACACGTATGAAAGCCTAGTGTTATGAAATTTACAAAGGGCATACGTGCTTTATGCACATTCGAAATGTCGCCGAGTCCTTAGAAGAATAGATGCATATGATTTTACTTAAAAACTAAATTTCCACCGACAAAGCGAAATCAAACAATGAATTGTGTGTTATAGAGTTATAATTATATAAATAAGGACAACGGTTCCCGTCCGGTTTCATTTTTTGTTTTATTATCGTGAATGTGATTTATAGCTCTGTGACATACCATGATATACGCTTATGTTTAAAGAATTTCTGCAAAAAATCTGCAAACGCAGTTTAATATTCACATATACTTGATCACTTTTACATAGCTTCCGTTTTATTTCTTATTTATTGAAAACGAGGAGGATCTGCAGTTCAAACGCGACAAAATCTCTTAGTAGCAGCCGATTGAAACAATTTTGAAATTGTATATCAACGCAAAGCTGCTAGACGCTGTGAAAACTTTAGTTGGAACGTTTGGGCTCCTGCTGCCTTGTCCCCGCGTCCTGATTGGTTAAAAACGAAGGCAGGGCACTATAAAAACTCGCAAATGATAGTGAGACGTCCTGAAAGCCCGAGCGCAGAGGTAAGAGCGAGTTCACTCAAGAAAGATGTATTCATACAAAACATTCAGATAGTATTTTTTTTTTATCATTTGTGCACAAGGAGATTGTAAAATAAAGAAGAAAGTGCTTACTTATTACTGTTTTTTTACTAGAATGCCATGTCATGTTTAAATCGATCTTATTTGTCAGTTTCCAAATGATTTACAATTATTAAATAAAACGTCGTTGGTTAAACACATTTCTTAAACGATTTCAAGCTGTTTAATTCGTTAATTAAATATTAACGTCCTGTCAATTAGATTAACTTCTGACCACCCTAAACATGCGAAAATAATGTCACTTTCGTGCCAAACACGCGCTGCAACCTCGGAGTTCTTGAAATGTACTGTTCGCTACAAAAGGGACGTCCGTCTTGGGTCAAATATCAGCTTAATTTTGTTGCTCCCGGATTATTTTGAGCTTGGTGAATGCAGTTTTGTTTTGATGTGTACTTGTGGGGAAAATAGACAAAAAAAGCAAAAAATAAAATAAAAAACGCGGAACAGTAATACGGATATGAAATGTAACTAATAACACAGAAATTGCTCCACGTGACGTGGCCCTGTGACTTGTCGCAATACTCGGGGATTGTGAAGTGGAATGGTTCCGCCCTAAAATCCCCTCACCTTTCTTAGGTAAATGAAGATGCCTTTTGTCAGAGCCCTGAGCAAGGTGGCCAGGCAGGTCCTCCAGGATCCAGGGTGTGGCTGTCAGCCCATGGCCATCGCTGTACGCACCATCAGCTTCTCCCCTCGCCAAGTCACTTCCGATGCCAATTTCCACTCTGTCTCCTTCTCAGAGACGGACCACCCCAAGGTCCTCATCACCGGTAGGTTTCCCTACAAAGCACCTGTGGTCTTAGCTCTCAAAATATTTTTGCTTTATTGAACAGTTGTGTGACTGTCATCCTTCAATGACCTCTTCTCATTGACTCATTGAATCTTCACTACCAGGTGGTCTTGGACAGTTGGGGGTTGGACTGGCTAAGTTGCTACGGTGAGATGTTTCCTCCATTGCGAAATGAATACAGACTTTGTTAAATCGCTCAACCCATTTATTTGATCTGTTTATTCACTTTAGGTTCCAGTATTAAACACACATTAATAAGTTACTGGTGGCCATTTAAACAATTGACACTGTGTAAGAATATGTCCTGTCATGCCTACCACACCCAAACTAAGCAATCGCACACTTTTTTTTAACTCAGAGTGCTACGCAGCATTACACACTAGGCCACAGGCTAGCATTTTATTGCTGTTTGAACATATAGGAACAAAAGCAGGACACATACATGTGCTTTCTTTTGGGAACTTACTGACTTGCTCAATGGGTCAATGGCTTTTTGTGTTGCCTAATTGTGATTGAAGCCTGTTTGTTATCCTTTCACAGGAAAAGATTTGGTAAAAACAATGTAATTCTGTCAGACATCAGGAAACCTCCAAGTCATGTTTTCCACAGTGGTGAGTTTAAGGCTGATTAATTGATCACATTGTATTTTTCTTGACCCAGAGAATGAGTAATTGTTACAAATGTCTTTTTTTGTGTACTGCAGGGCCTTTTATTTACTCTGACATTTTGGACTACAAGAACCTGCGTGAGATTGTGGTGAACAACCGAATTACTTGGCTTGTCCACTATAGTGCCCTCCTTAGTGCTGTGGGAGAGGCGAATGTGTCTTTGGCCCGGGCTGTGAACATCACAGGTGAGGAGCGGATATCTGCTGTCCCTCTTGGCTGAACGGCCTTTGCTCTCCGCAAGCATTTGGTCTGAAAATGGAGGAAGTTTGCATGATGAATGTAAACTGGAATACCAAGAGGAACCTTGCAGATTGACAAATATGGCTTCCTCCTTCAGGTCTGCACAACATCCTGGACATTGCGGCTGAACATGGCCTGCGGCTGTTCGTCCCCAGCACCATCGGCGCATTCGGACCCACCTCTCCCCGGAACCCCACCCCTGACCTGTGCGTGCAGCGCCCCCGAACCATCTACGGTGTCTCCAAAGTCCACGCAGAGCTCATGGGAGAGGTAAAGGCCATCCCATGCATCTTATGGCTGCTCGATATCACGTCGCATTGTAATTGCGAATATATGGCGCATGCACTATAAGCACCAGGGCTTTAGATGACAGCCGTAAACATTTGTCCACACGCAGGTGTTACCACACAGACATTTGCTTACACCTTCAGTTTGGTAGTAGCAAGCGTAAAATATTAACGAGATGTGTATTGTGATGCCCAAAAGTTGTGATCCGTGATCTGTATTAAATTTAGTGTATCCTTATGTTTATTAAATTTGGTTAGCAGTGTACGCCCCATGCTACCGTTTTGGTAAAACATGGAAGCGATAGGCACTTGAGTTGTGGTGAAAAAAATGGAGAACAGCAGCCACAATGTATTTTGAAAGAGGAGATATTGTGGATAAAAGGTAAAAAAGATGGTAAAATAAGGATATGCCAAAGTTATACAGATGGCTAATTTTTCGGCGTCACATACGCCTCTCATCAATATTGTAGGCATAGTACTAATTTGCTTACCAAATTGCGGGTGTAAGCAAATATCCGTATGGACAGAAAGCCGGTGTCCGGATGAATGTTTACTCCTGTCATCTAAAGCCTCGGTGATTACTGCGCATGATGTGATATTGTAGCAGCCCTTGTGTGCATCTGACATCCTAAATGGACAGTCAGGGGCTTCTGTCCCTGCAGTTACGCTCACCGTCTCCTCTGTCTCCCAGTACTACCACCACCGGTACGGCCTGGACTTCCGGTGCCTCCGGTACCCGGGCATCATCTCTGCAGACTCCCAGCCTGGTGGCGGCACAACAGGTGAGCAGTTTTAATCATCTTGATGTCTAAAGGAGGTTTTTTGTGGTCAGTATAAGACCAGATGATCCATTTCAAGATGTGTTCTCCTTGACGCTGGGGGCCATGTTATGGTAGAATTTTCCAGATCCCAAGTTTACTAGTACATGTGTGTATATCCTCACAGCTTCAGTTGTATCATTATTTATTTTTCTGTGCATGTGTGTATTTCTTCAATTGAATTAAAAAAATATCACTATACTGGCGTAAATGTCCTCCTAAATTCTCTTCTGTTCATACTCTTTATGTGGTAGCGAACACCCTTCCAGCTCATTAATAGCATGTTCCCCTGCCCAGACTACGCCGTGCAGATCTTCCACGACGCAGTGAAGACCGGCAAGTTCGAGTGCAACCTGAAGCCAGACACGCGGCTGCCCATGATGTACATCGACGACTGCCTGAGGGCCACGCTCGAGGTGATGGAGGCGCCGGCCGAATCCCTCACCATGCGGACCTACAATATCAACGCCATGAGCTTCACCCCTGAGGAGCTCGTGACGGAGGTGCAAAAGCAGCTGCCCGATCTCCAGGTCACCTACGACATCGACCTCGTCCGCCAGGCCATAGGTGAGGGATGCCATTCTGCCACAGATCGTCAAGAATGGCTTTGTTACCCTATTAACTGAACATCAACTTGTTGTTGTGTATCTGCATTCTTGTATCAGAAAATTCTAATCGCTAATTCTAATGACCTTTTCTTGTCCCTCCAGCTGACAGCTGGCCCATGAACTTTGATGACAGCAACGCCCGTAAAGACTGGAGGTGGAAACATGACTATGACCTTCCAGAGTTGGTCCAGACGATGCTCAACTTCATTGGCTCTGACTCGCAAATCGCCCATGCTAACTGAACACGCCCAGGCTACCTGTACATAGTGTTAAAACTAGATCTGCACACAGCAGAAGCTCACGGTCTGTAAATAGTCTTACTCCATGATTTGGGAAATGCATTTATTAGAGATTCTGGTAGCCAAGATATCTACCTTCCTCTTTGTATCTAGAGGGGGATAGTTGATTCCCATTAAATTACTGGGAAACCGTTTTGTGAAGACAACTTTCCAAGTGAAATGATGGGAAGCTTCTGGAATCTGTAGCTCTGAAACTTTGGATGCCAGCTACGTGCAGTTTAGATCTGGGAAATGTTGCAAAAGTTAATGCCATGGAGGGAGAAGGTTTGTGCTTCCTTCTGGACCCTGTCATGAAGATGGATTTTAAGAGACCAAAGGAATATTTCTGTGCAAATTATTACAATGTATCAAGGGCTTTACTTGAGGGGAAGTCAAAAACATCACCTGAAGTTGTATCATCCTTCTGTTAAATGGTTTTACATTGATTTTCTCTTCCTGGGTAACAAGGAACAGTAACTATGTTTGATCATTTGTAAGTTTGTTTTGATCCTTGTCAGTATGAATATAAAACAATGGAACATAGAATTACATGACAAACACAGTGGTCTATTTTAAAATGGCAACGTACAGATGAGTGTTTGACAATATGCAGAATTTAAGGTTCATGATTAGAATGCAAAAGCAATTCTGAAATGTCTGATGATTTCCTTGGATATTTATTTTATAAGCTATTTATTGTGTGTACAGTGGAACTTGGCAGATGTTAGCATTTGTTTTGTGACACTGTACCAATGGTCCTGCTTATTATTTTTTACTTTTCAAAAAGTGTATACCTCCATTTGGAGAGTTATCCTATTCTTGACATGTTTGTCGGCTGTTTATGCAGCTACAGTGACAGCTTATGCACCTTCTTTATTCTTGATGCAAAATATTCACTATGGAATGAAATGATAACAGAGAAGCTTTCTTTGGAGTTGTAGAAAATACTTTTGTTTTTTAGCTGCCCTTTTTGTTCCCGGAAATATCAATAAAATGTGTTTAAATACGAGTTCTTCCAGACTCGGCCTGTTTTCTGTTCCATCCCCTCTCTGCAGGTCTTACCGTCAGGGCTGGGCTGGCAGTGAATATCAGCACTTTTTTCTGTCTCTTTTTGCTTTCTTTTTTCAGTTTGGTCAGACTGGGATCACCCCAAGTTCGAACGGTATCCCTCTTGTCCTCATTCCAGCAGAAAAGCCATTTATTTCAATAATTAATTAATATTAAAACACAATATTTCTTAAAATCAACAATAAAACTGGAAGAATTCTTAAAAGCAAGAAATGCAAACATCAAATAACATGGACATTACAGTGATTAAAATGTAACCTTAAATGCAAGCAATCTGAGATTTTGGGAATAAAACAAGGTTAATCACACACAATGCAAAACACACCAAATATAGATTCATATTGTTATTAAATTAAGGTTGAAAGGGTGCTACAAGTAACCAACCAAAACTACTAAATTTGTGTAATTAATTCATTTAAAACTATGAAAAACACCTCAAGCAGAAAGAAAGCACACTTACCTTAAACCCCAAGTACCATCTGTGTGCTTCAGAAGAGGAGATGACATCAGTCTCCATCCTGAAGTTCAAGTCGGCCCAGATTTTGTGAGACAGCCTTTGTGCCTCCAGATGAACCTCTCTGCAGATGAGCATGGTCCTGGCATTCCACAGCTCTCACTGGGTAATGCTGACCAGCAGCCACATCCAAGGGCTGAAGGGGTTGTGGAGGTTAGGAGCAAAATCGCTCTCCCCAGCAGGGAGAAAAATGACGCCTCAAAATAACTCCCACATTTACGCAGGCTGTGACGTTTTCACGTCATTTGCGGAAGTAATTCCATACACACTGAAACGAGCATAAATGTATACATCACGTGGCTGTCCACACGCTGATCTGTAAATTAGTTTTTTTTTTCCTCAAATATGCAGCAGTGACACTATATAACACGCTATTTAGCAGCATACAGTTCAGGAAAAAGGGAAAACGACAATTACAGCAACTTAATTTAATGTAGGCCTATGGCATGTACATTGCATATTAATGTTCTATCCCAATAAAAAATATTCTGCATGGTTTTGTGTGGTAAAAACATGTTTTTTTAATCAAGTGTTAATCAATGCCATGGTCCAAAACCGGCCCACCGCTTCGGTCGAGAGCTGAGGTGCAGCTAAGCCTCTGGTATCACATGCAATTCCACTGCTACTGTTACTGGTTACATAGCGGAACAGTGGAAGATCCCATGATCTGCCCCTTTCCTGGTACAGGCCTCTCTTATTTTGTAATGCCACTGCAAGTCATCAGTGGATATTCCTGCCAGCACTAACCACATCTTGCAGGAGGGGCTAACAGGTTGCATAAGAATTACATTCTCATCAGTCATCATCAGATTATGAGATATGTACCTGAAAGAAACTAAGTCACGAGACATGGGAGCCCGACCAGGATAAGGAGGAATGAAAGGAGTTCATACTTCTCATGTGATGTGGCTCCCAATCGCATTCAGGGGCGCCGTAAGGGGGAGGAAAGCTAGGACGATTCCAAGGGCCCCTGAGTGACAGGGGCCCTAAAAAATTAGGAAAATAACTGGATTGGTTTGGACTGGGGGGCCTAATATGATATGCTTTCATGGGGCCCAAAATCTCTAGCAACGCCCCTGATCGCATTATTACCACGTCTTCAGCTTCCCTAAAATAAAATGTTCTGGGCAGCGAGCCAGTGACCAGGACTAGCTTTTAGCAGACCCCCAACCACGTGAGCCTTTCGTGTGTCTGCTGACTCGGTCAAATACGGGGGAAATTTATGCTCAGACCAGGTGGGTCACTTAAATTGAAAAACATGACAGGAGCAGCGGTTGACATGCTGTCCCAAAACGGTTCATCATAGGCTTTTGAGTACTGCTTAAAAATGGAAGCATGGTTGATCACGCGTTCAATTTAGTTAACATAGTCAAGTAAACAGCATCACACTAAATAGCTATAGAGCCATCCTAGTCGTTTATACAATAATTGCGGGAAATGTCACAGGTATTTTTCCGTATTGGCATTAGTATCTGTTGAGGTGTTGCATGGGTGTTGACAGAATTAAACTGACACTTTGTAGGAACAAAGCCATTACCCCGAAGCACAATGGCATTTCAAGGATATGAGAAGGCACATAAGTCACGTTGGCTTAGTACAAATAAGTCTCGCGTGATTGTACTTGCCTACCACAGCTCGAAGTTATACAATAAAATATTACTATCGGACCGCATTCATTTTATCTTAGATGTATTTATTTAGCAGACGCTTTTGGTGTATAGCGACGTGAAAGTCAGGCAAATAGTACATTGAAAAGTTTTATCGTTGCATTCTTCTAGTTCACCTATTGCTCAAGGTCATGCCTGTTTTGAGCGGACCTATGAGGGAACTGTTCAGTTGCAGAGTCGCTTAAGCGGAATTTCATAGTATTTCCCCCGTGATTTATCTGATGCGTTCTCTATCGATCTTGTGAAAAGAACAACTCGTTATAGTTTAATCGATTTACATAGTAAAAAAAAAAATTATACCATCAAACTGACCAGCCAAATTTGAAATTAGAAAAAAAAATACATCTAGCAGGGGTACAATTAAAATCGGGTAAATCGTCTGGTTAAATCAGAGTGCTCGTGTATATCACACTAGGAATGACCGAAAAATCTTATTACGATTAGGCCTATAGTTAGCGTACGTCACGCCTAAAGGTGTGGAAATCAAGCTTGGGTGCAGCTGGATTAAGCTGATCGCGTTGTACTTGCACTCATTTGTGAGAGGGGTTGGGCACAATACTGTATAGTAGCCTATTTATTGTCTGAATACTGACTAAACAATCCTGAATGTACATATATTCTGGTAGAAGACGTAAAACGTGTATCTTATTCAGAATACTTTTAGAATACTTAAAGAAACTGTAATATGTATATGAGTATTTTGTGTTTTTTTGTAACCGTTTTTATTAATCAGGCTAAATGCTGGTGGAATATGGACACGTTTTCTTTTTAATGTTTGAATAAATGCGCAAACCAATGAGATGATTTCTGTGAACAAACAAAGCAATTAGCCTAGCCACCGTTTTAACCACAGTTAACAATTAATTTCACAATTCAGATTTATGCTTATGTATTTCATATTAAAATATCTTTAAATGCAAAAATCGCTGTCCTTTCTAGTAATGTGTTCTTATTGCTATAAGCTCACTGCGTGGACAACTAAGAAAAATTTATGCTTGCAGAAGGACAGGATAACATTAGTTTGAAACAGTTCTACTGGTTTAGAAACTCGACTAATGCTGACTTAAAATATATACATTGTTTCAAAAATGGGTATTTTAAAAGTATTCCAGTTAAATTTCATGAAGTGTACTTGTACCTGTACTTGAATTCCGTCACAGTATAAACCTGATACTGATTTTCAAGAAAGGGTGTATAAGGGGCAGAGCAAGAGAGAGAAACGGCGTAAACTACAGATAACTAACGTCATTAAGTGACGCCACCTAAACTACTGCCGATGCAAATATGGGTAAATTTGGCCTGGGAAGGTTATGACAACTCGATCGCTTTCGCAAGTGCTGGAATCGAGGCACAGTGGAGCCAGCCGGTATCAGGACAACACGTGGCTCTGTTTTTTTAGACACTGTCGCAAGGCCGGTGTGTGCATGGTTCATCTGATGATCTTTCAGCTGATGTGCTGATGACCCAGATGAACGGGGGGTGACATGGTAGCAAAAAAGGGGGAGAAGCATTTCTGGCATTAATAGTTTAGTTACACTAAATTAGAAATAACTAAGTAGCATAAGGAATGGATTCAGTAATCTCACCTCTGACAGTCTAATGAAATTAAAATAAGTCAAGAGAACCAAACTATGCATGTGTATATGTGGTTTGAGTGCATAGCTGTGCAAGTTTATAGCCAACGTATCACAAGTACACATCAACCTACTGAAATTTGTACTGTCCAGCTACCAAACCTTTTTCGTTAATAAAGAATTATGTAATTTAAACATTTTATCTGGGCGTATAACAGTGCCGGATAATGAGGTGTATTACCGCCCCCTGGTGTCACCCTTCAGTCGCACATATTTATTTATTTATTTATTTAGATTAAATAATAAAGAAAACCTATACAATGTGTTTATTTTATTTTGTCGTTATTATTATTATTATGTGTTTTTAAATGTGAAATATATTTTGTTTTTGTTCATAAGTATATCGTCACACGGAGGATTTTTATACAGGCATATAATGAGACACTCCTGTGAGGACCTACGAAGATGGCGATGCTGTCAGAACGTGGGTTTCATTCCATGTGTTTGATAGAACATTTATTATTGGGGTTTGATTGCGTTTTTCTTTTTTTCCAGCAACATTCGAGTCATTTTACACATATATCTCTCTCTCTATAGCGACAGGTTAACCCTGTGCGTTTTTCTGTAGCCCGCAGGAAACAGAAATGGTCGGTCGATCCAAGGAACAGCACCTGGAGTAAAGATGAGTCCAAATTCGGCCAGAAGATGTTGGAGAAAATGGGATGGTCCAAAGGAAAGGTAAGTACATTACATGTACATTTATTACGTTTACACGTATTATTACATTTATTAGTATTGTATACCAGTGTAACCGATGTGAAACTGATGTTATGTCAAGCATAGTCGAGACAAGCCTATTCTGTGCCCTCTTTGATAGACGAATTTTTCGGTTTGGTTTGGTTAAACTCTCACGTACATTTCATCGTTTGATGCCCAGGGCCTGGGAAGAACCGAGCAAGGCGCCACGGAGCACATCAAAGTTAAAGTGAAGAACAACACGCTAGGCTTGGGCACGACCGCCAGCTATGAGGTCTGTCGGGCAGACGCCGTCATCTGGGGGCTGCTGTGTGGGGGCCGCTACTGCGTGCTGTGTAAAGAAATTTTATTTGCGTGTTTTTTTTCTTCAACAAGAGGTTTAATTCACGAGGTAGCAAGAAATCGGTTATTCTTTTCTATATTAATGTGATGAATCTTCATAATGATGCACTGTGCTTTAGTGTCTAGCTGTACCTCATTCTTACTCAGTAGAACTTGATGCTGTCTTTGCGCCTTCAGGACAACTGGATTGCCCATCAGGACGATTTCAACCAGATTCTTGCAGATTTAAACAGCTGCCACAGCCAGAACGGTACCTTTTGCTTTGGGTTGTAAACAGTCTGTCACTTGCATTTCACAGAACTCTCTTATTGTAGGCTGCATGAGGTGTTTTCCAGTACAAATGGTTGGAGGGCCTGATTTAGTGAAAGTGATTGACACACCACAACAAAATGTGTTCTTTTCGTTTAACCCATATGCGACATAGTAGTGGGCAGCTATTATTTAGCACCTGGGGAGTAGTGCTAGGGGGCAGTACCTTGTTGGTCGGGGATTTGAACCAGCAACCTTTCAATGACAAGTGTGCTTCCCTAACCATTAGGCCACCACTGCCCTCTGATGATTATGAAGGTCTATAGATATGTCGATAGGAAGCACAGTGAAAGCTTTTGGCTAGAAATGTGCCATTTTTGAAGGATGCTGAAGAAACATGGAAGACGGTGCTTTTGTGGTTAATTTTAATGAAAGCTTGTGAAGTAAATGCAGACAATTAGGTAGACTTGTTTTTAATCGCCATTTATATATAGCACACTAGGTGGCAGTATTGTAGCACTTCAGTTGAGGAGGATAGCTGATAGGCTGATAGCTGTTGTGCAGTGATTGGAAATGAAATACTGCTGTGGATACTAAGTATTGCTAATCTGATGTTTTGTTGTAAGTTGAACTAGCCATTGTACTGGAACAAAATATTAACTGCGTGGTGCAGATTTTTTTCAAGGTGATCCTTCTCCTGATTCAATGGCATTTCTTCCCTGGATATCTTGTTTACCTTGGATACAACATCAATGGACGGATCTTCAGAACCTCTTTTTAAACCTGATGTTTATGATGCTTTTTAGTGTTTCTGTGTCTGGGCTGGTGGGTCACATGGGGACATTTTAGACTAAATTCTTAACGGCTTCTAAAAAAACACAACATTTAATGTTTTCTTTAAATTATTTGAATTTATTCCATAGAGATCTACTGTTACATGTTTGTTTGTTTAGCTACACCAATAATCACAAAACCTTCATTGTTTATATTCTGTCTGGTTCTATTTGCGTAACATTGTATTCTTGAAAGTGCTCAGTATAGCTAATATTCAGGAACCGGTACTTAATCTAAACTGAAACCCATTTGCAGTCTCTTCTGCTGCAATAAGTCTTTTCATTGTAGCAACATTCAGCATTTTAAATTATCATTGTCTTTGTTGTTGAGTCTTTTGATGACTTGTGGCATTTATGTCTTTCAGAATCGACAGCTGAGCCAAAGCAGAGTTTTAGCTTGGAAGAGAAGTCTAAGACATCTAAAAAAAGAGTTCATTACATGAAATTTACCAAAGGTCAGTGACCCTTTGTCCTGTTAAAAGGTCTTACTGCTTCAGATCGCATAACATCTTTTATTCAACCAGCATTCTTCAAATGAATTGCTTATAATCTAAGTTATTATTGTTGTGATCACAGTCATCAGATGATCTAATTTTGTCTTCCCTAGCAATCTCAGGGATCAGCAGGTTACACTTAAGTCTCCAAAACACCCCCCCCCCCAAAAAAAAAAACCGCAGCACAATCAGACATCACCTGCAGCCTGTTATCTGTGAAGTTATAATAAATAAATAAAAATAATGCCGACTGACCTTAAAACGGCAGCTGCGTGCTGTGGATTTTATTCAGAGGCCGTGTGGGAGTACCTAGGTTTCCAAAAACCCTGAGTAACGATCTGATCTGAGAACTATAGTAACTTCACCAAGCAGAAGTACTTTTATCTGGTGACCGAGTTTTCACCTGTCTGGATGCAATAATGAAGCAGAGCTTTAATTTCATTCATTGCTGCTTTATGGGAAACTGGGCCTTTGTTATGGTCTGGTCCAGCGATGATTGGGCTGTATATATGAGGATTTATTTGCTAACAAATATACTTGCCAGTTCCCTTCTTGTCATGGAGAAATAATTCAATGGGCTCGTTGCTGAGGGCATCACATCACCACATCTGCAGGTAGTTTGGCCTCTGTGTGCCAGAACCAGATCATGGTTTGGAATAATTCAGTCAGGTGGTGCAGGGACACCAGTAAATTTTTCCCGGTTTCTGGTTTGTATGTTTGGGTGTCTCAGATGCACATCTCTGCCGTCAAGTGTTCAGTGTCGGGCTCCATTTGAATTTCAAACCCGTCTACCTGGATTTCCGTGCCGTCTGCCTGTTTTATTCTGTTCTTCGTTCTGGGGGTCAGTACGAGGGGTGGAGGGCAGTTTGGGTGCACCGCTCTACTCCGTCTCGCTGCTGAAGGGGTGCGGGGTCACACCGTGCACAGCCTGGTAGCGATGGACTGCCTGGCCCAGTTAATTTCCCTTTGTAGGTCAGGAAGCTAATAAATAATAAATAAACCTCAGCAGTTTCTGTGGGTGGGGGTGGCAGTGGTGGTCAGGTCTCTGCTATGTTCTTATTTAACTCCTTGTAATAGAAGTTAAATAAGTTTCAATTTGCTTCCCATGTTTAAATTGAGCCCTGTCATATCTTCCCTGTGAATGACCTAGAATCCGTTTTCACTGTTTAAAGACAATTCAGATCCCTTTAAAGTAATGAATCTGTGTTCTGGCAGACAAAGCTTTGTTTGTGGAAATGAGTATTTTTTTTTTTTTTTTTAGTGGGGTTTTTAAGCAGAGGAAAAGGTTACTGGGTTCTCTTCACCTGGCCCTAAGAGTGCTCCACAACAGGACTTCCTGTTTCCCGTGTCGACAGCTGGGGCCCTCGTTTGCTGTGCTCTCCTCTCTGTCCCGCCCTGGGGTCTGCGGCCGGCGCGGGGATCGCCCGCCGTTCGGTGCGGAGGAGGAGTGCCGTGCCTCTTAGCGATATCGGATTCCCCCTGACAGCCAGGCAGACGAACAAGGATCTCTAATTATGACTTTGCTGTTTGGATCTCAAATCCCGGTGGAAACCGAAACCTTGTGTGCGCTACTTGTGGAAGCCCCGCCCCCCCCCAACCATTAATATTCGTGTTTGTATGTTTATCATATTGCACAAGGATCATACAGCTGTGAGACGTAACGGGTGTGTGTTGGCGCGTTCCGCCGAACATCCCCGCCTTTGCCATGCCATATCAACCTGTCAAGCGATGTCATCGCAAGAGAGAGGTCAAAGGTCATGTTTATATAGTATTGTACTGCCACCCGCAACTTGCTTTAAAGGGACAGGCGTGAAACAGCCCGGCCGGTGCAACTGGAATTCTGGGTTTTCCAGTTGCTTCCCCTGTTGCTATGATAACTGTTCAACACATGTAGTGACATGTTTGCTTTGCCCCCGCCCCCCGCCCTCTACCCAATGGTAGTCATGGAGGGACAGGCCAGGTTGCCGACAGCGACCCTGCGCTGGGAGTGTGTGCTGTCCCCAGAGGAGGAGTTGCTGGCATTGGTCCCCACATCTTGGGGGAGGCGTGGACTGACCTGTCATGGGGAGCAGCTGCGGCGCTATGCTTCTTTCCCGCTGGATACTGGTGCTATAGGTCGTCCTAGATGGCGAAGGGGGGTACTGTAGGTCGGCATGGATCGTGACGGGGAGGAGGGGGGGGTTTCCTCAGTTCTTAGTGACTGCTTAAGGCTGGTGCTGTTATTTACTTCAGGTTTGGGTTAAAACATTGTTCTTTCAGGATTAAAAAAAGTTATCAGTTTCTTAAAATATAAACTCCCCTTATGCAGTGTTCATTCGCGTGATGGACAGGTATAGCTGTCATCAAATTAATGGCAATTGCAGAGTCACTCATCGTGTGAAGGAGCCGCTTCTCTCACTGGAGATTGTCGAGCATCTGCTCTGCGGGGTCTTTTAACACGCCATCGTAGCCCCCCCCCCCCCCCCAACTGGGTAGATGATTGGAAAATGTACCATTTATTTAACCTTTCATCTTGACATGGCTGAAAGATGCCAAACAGTCAGTTTGACAATCCTACTATGTGTGGTTTAGAAGGTCGCCTGATCCTTCTGGTGGACATTATCTCAAAACCTCAAACTTCTACCAGTTAGCTCATTTTTAACTGTAAAGGTTTCACGATGGTTGGTTGCAGTACCCAAGGAGGTCAGCAAAACCGGTCAAATTTTAGTGAGAAAGGTTCAGGACCTCGGAGAACGGAGAGTTGACTGTCTGTGTTTATTGATGTTCTGCCATGCTTTGTTCCACGGTTGGAGCTTTAAGGATTGATGGCCGTCTTTCCCGTGGAGAGGTGTTGCTGCTCCCGTACCCCCTGCATACCTGCTGCGTAAACCAGTAACCTCATTTTAATTGCCTTCGCATTTATCAGCTGTCCTTTAGGAGACGTTTGATGTTGAGTTTATTTATGGACGCCCTCAACGTTCCACTGGTTGCTTCTGCTATGCCGGGCAAGATAACCCAGCGTTAATTCAACCCGCCCTGCATGGGAGATGTTGAGAAGCTCAGCTGGACCTGGAATGTTCCTCAGATATCGCTTCTGGATGGGTCTTATTTTATATTAGTACCACAAAGATGTGGTGGGAAAAGTTTCAGAACTTGTAGAGTTTCAGAAATTGTGGCTCTAACTGGATTTACTTTGTGGTAACTTAACCTTTTTTTCCCTTGCTGGTTGACTCTGAAGCGTATGACCTCAGAAGTCCATATAAGAAATTTAGAAAAATCTCTCAATTTCCTCCAGCTGCCCAGTGCAGGAATCTGTCAAGCCTGGAGTCAATCTCAGGAAGTTCACTGCGTGGGCCTGGGGGGGAGGGGGGGCGTGGATGGGATGCCACTCCATGACATGACATAGTACACAGAGCAGGTCTGGGAGACGTACAGACTGCCATGCATAAATGTAATTTCAGATCTTTAATACCCAGTTACATTGTGGTGTTAGCTGTGAGAATCGGTCAGCGGCCCTTAGCTGGGCCCTTAAGCCTCAGCCTCGCTTTACGTCTGAGGCCGTGAACCTCAGCCTGAGGTGGGGCTCCTGCGTGTCCCAAGCTGCTGGAGCCTCTTTGATGTGGCCCTTTGGGTTTCTGTGATGAAGGATTGCTCTGGGGTGGGGTGTGTGTATGTGTGTATGTGTGTGTGTGTGTGTATGTGTGTGTGTGAGGTTGTGGGGGGGGTTTAAGAGCAATAAATAAGTAAACGTTATCAGGACCCGTCTGGAGGAAGAGGATGCAGCTGTGCATGTGGGGGCCTCGCTGTGTGTGGGGGCCGCCTTCGTCCTGCGGGCCGTGGGTGCCGCTGGAGTGCCTGTGCTGGATGGTCCGCCTCGGCGCCCGGCGTCTTTCCCGCCGCTGGAGGTCTTGGGCAGTTAGATCACCATCTGTGTAGCTGGGTCTTTGCGTGGCTGCATAGTGTGTGTATGTATATATGTGTATAATATTTATAGGTGTATATATACACACACACACGTCTCTATGTCCAGTTCCTCCATTGTAAGTTGAACAGCGAGTTCTTTGTCTGCTGTTTGTTCGCATAGTAATTGAGAAAGTAGATTTTAAAGGATACATTTCTTACTCTTTTCAGTTGGGTTTATATAATGACTGACCACTGTTTATGGAGCTTTCTAAGTAGCTACAGAATCTAAAGGTTTGTGTGTGTGTGTGTGTGTGTGTGTGTGTGTGTGTGTGTGTGTGTTGATATAGATATAAATCCATAGAGTATAATGGTAGATGGCTGTCAGGCAGAGCTGGGCAGTGTTACATTGTTAATGTTCTTGTGTTCGATGGCTGTCTCTATCAGGAAAGGACCTTTCCAGCCGCAGCCAGACAGACCTGGCCTGTGTCTTCGGGAAGAGGACCAAGCCTTCAGAAGAGAAGGTCGAGGTGAGTCGCTCCCTGCCCTCGTGCATCGCCGGCCTTCACGCTGCCAGCCACGTCGTTCCCTCCGATCGCTGCCATCTTTCTTGAGGGGCGGGCCGGGGTGGGCAGGGTGGGGTGTTGCTGGCTGGTGAATGTTCGTGAACTTAGTCAGCCAGTGGTATTCACTATACGGATGCCAGCAATATTCAGCAGCCAAAATCCCGTAATCTCCCTCGTCTGTGTAAAAGAAAAGATGATGTGTCATGGCAACTCGCCCGACGGACCAGAAGTGAGAGATGCTCCGGAAGTGATTTTTGTATCCCTGCCATGTGGTCAAAACTAACGCCGATCGATGTGTGCGATAACCCCCCCCCCCCAGTGCCCGTCCACCCCGGGCAACCGCATCCCAGCAGCTGCTGCTGCAGATTAGCCTTGCCGCAAGCTGGTGGCTGACCCGGGTGCCTGGTCCGCGCGCGGCATTAATCCCTTTAACAGATTACCGCTTTGACTTTCTCCACTGTTCCAGCCTCATCAGGTGAGTGGAGCACACCAATAGGATCTGTGACGGGATTCTGGGATCCCCGCGGCCGTTTTCCGGGATAAGTCCCTCTCCGAAATGATGACTTCGGCAAGCTGAGAAAGTTCTCACTTCCGCTGACTGGGTGACTGCGTATCTGCACTCTTGAAGGCTGTTGCAGAGTCTGAGGTTGACCCTGCCAGCACTGGTTGGTGGTGGTGGGTGGGAGTTTAAGGGCACAGAGTCTCTCTTTGCAGTCCTAAGACAGGTGATTGAGTAGAATACCCCACTGTGAGTCATGTTGGTTAACAGCTTTCATATTCTCAGCGATTATGTGATTTTATCAATGATAATGAGTTAAAATTTTCTTTCTTCGTTTTTTTTTTTTTTTTTTTTTTTTTTTTTTTTCCTCTCTCGCCTCCTCTATAATCTCTTTTAAACCACTTTTTGTCCCGTGATTTGGGTGGATAGTCACACATCTCAGGTGAAGCACCTGAAGGCAGCAGCTCCTTGCTTTCCAGCTTTGATCATTGCCTTTAAAATCCAGGTGGCTCTGTTGCCTTGGCAATGGTTTGGTTGCCATGCCGCAATATTTAGTCAATATGAACGTTAAGTAATTATTTAATCTGTCAGACAGACGAGGTGTTCTGACAGATGAGGCGTGATGTCAGGTTTGATCTCTGCCCTGTAGCTGCATGATGTGAGATTCCTGCATGATATTGTTTTGGTTGGTGTGTGTGTGTGTGTGTGTGTGTGTGTGTGTGTGTGTGGATTTCCTCGTAAAGACGCTTTTCCACCTGCTCTCCCCCAGGCTGAACGTCCTCCTCCCGATCTGCTCTGATCCCGGGTGGGTCTGTGCCGTTTTGGTGCTGGTCTGTATTTCTCGCACTCTGAGTCTCTCCTGGTATGTTTACAGTCATTGCGTATCCAGGACTGCAGATCCAAAGGGGTGAGGGAATCATCTGAACAAGAAAAACATCTAAGTCGTGCCCAGTTGTTCCGGTAGAGATGCACCGTGCTCCATGGAATTGGGCTGTTCTTACAAGATTGTCGTGGAATTGTGGGGCGAAAGATATGTTGGGGGTGGACAAAAGACGTCAGGCACACCTTCCGTGAAAAATACCGATGAGCAACTCATGGATGTAGTCATCGCCACATGCCTCTTAGGCTGATGCAGCTGGGACGGCCTTCTAAAGTGCTCAGTTTTTATGTGTTTCGGGCAGAAATGCATCTTGGAAATTATTTGTCATGTTGACTCTTCTCCCCTCTCCAGTAAGATATGAAAGAAGTTGACAAACTGCCCCGTTAGTTATGTTTCCTCACTGCTGATCTGTGAGAAATCAGCACCGGAATCCATATTTGTGACTGAAGCGCACAGTCCATTCTGCCCCCGTCCAAGCGGCGAGAACAATGGCGGCGGGGGCCGCGTCGATTCAAAATGGAAGCAGGGGTGTTTATGTGTGGTGCTTATTTTTTAAAAATCGTTCTGTTATGTTACAGTTCTTTCCGGAATAAGCTTTGTCCAGCAGATTGAACGCACTGAACAGAATCACAATGGTGTCCCGGGAGATGGGCCGGCAAATCCAAGGAAAATGGGGGGGGGGGGCTAGGCTAGGAGTGTGGGTTATAGGGGGGGCGGGGGTAAGTTCAGGGCTACTTTTAGCCTTTGTGTTGGGTTTTACTCCGCCTTGGTTCATGTGCAGAGGCGAGGAATGTAGGTTTATTTCTGCACGTTCGCTGCAGGTGAATTACCCCCCCCCCCCTCCCCACAACGCACTTTTATTAAAAGGAAAAAAAGAAAAACAAACTAGTTTCATCCCCATCATCGCCAGCACCCCCTGTGTGGAGTTTCCTTCCTCTATGTAGCTGGACTTCCTGGTTGACTTATCGTGGGTAAAAAATAAATGGATCTTAAAATGCTCCAGTACCCGTCTAAGCAGATAGCTGGCCGCTGGACGCCCCCCTCTGTGCCGTGGGTGGGTGTGTCTCTCTACCCAGCCGCTTTGTCTTCAGTGTTGGCCCTTTGCATCCTGTGTCCTCCGACTACTCACTTGGGGTGCCCCCCCTCATCACAGGTGCCATGAGGCACCGGAAACCATGGTAACGCGTATTTCAACGTGCCGTCGTCTCTTTATCGTATTTGATGTCCAGATCATGTTTTCTTGGGCGTTTTTAATTCGGGGTCATCAGGGTCAAACGCGGACTAAAGCCCAGTAAGACCATCACAGGCAGCATGCAGGTGTTAATGGTAATAGTTGGGGGGGGGGGGTCATTTGTACCGCAAATAGTTCAGTGAAACCTGCGGCTCGCTGACTCCGTGGGAGGCTGGTGCGGAACGTACCGGCAGACTTGGGTCTGGAGTTATTTATGGTGCCCGGCTTTCCTTAACTCAAAGGTCAAAATTAAAAACCGCCCCCGCTTCCCTAATGTGTGTCGCCCCCAGGCCTGTCCGTCTTCACGCACCTGCCTTGGATAGCCATGCAAATACTCTCAGTTCTATTAAACAGGGGACGTGCGACAGTTTCCTGTCGCTTTTCGATGCTGGGAACAAACCACTCCCACCCTCCCAAAAAAAAAAAAAAAAAAACTATATTCGGTAAACATTATTAAACGTCTGGCTGCCTGGCCTCCGCCCCCTCGCCCGAGCAGCTATCCATCACCCGATCTCGCCCCGATCCGTCAGCGTGCCCTAGCCCACTGGCGCCCGTGTCTTTTTGGCCACCGTGCAATTACTCACCGCAAGATGGATGACAGTCAGCTGAAAATCAAAGCGACTGGCACTTTGTAAGGGAAGGCGCTTGGCAGGGCCCTGCTCCGCTGCTTATCGGCGGGCGGACGGGAGCCTCTGGCCGCGACTTTCCTCAGGGGTTTAGTTAGGGAGCCGCGGGGAGCCGGTTTGATTTATCTCCCGTCCACCGCGCCCGGCCACTCCGGTGAGCCAAAAGAGCCGACTTGGCTCTAATGTGTCTCCGTTAGAGGGACCGCGTTCGCTGAAATAAACCAGCCTGCCTCCGGGTGAAAAATGTCCCCTGATTGGCTAATTAATCAGTCAAAGGGGAGCGGCATGGTCCCGTGGCATCATGCACCCGAGCGGGTGAGGAAGAGGGGCCACTGATAAATGGTGTCCCCCCCGATTCATACATCAAGGGTTGTCGGCCATTTTTTAAACCTGCCGTTTGCATGAAAGCCGG